CAACTTGATTTTGTTTTTCCCTAGTGAATTAGTTACTATTTTGGTTTTTAACCTTTCCTCCCTGGAGCTGCTTTCTATCAGGCATTGGTCATGGCAACGAGTGAAGTAACCAACGCTCTGAATCTTCTCATTGCACACCTACAACTGAGTGTCACACCCAGCATGTCCATCCTACAGAAAGTAGATGAACAGTTCCAACCTCATTTCCTGACAATTGTGATTCAGACTTGCTCAGCCAGTTTTTTTTTTTTTTTTTTTTTTTTTTTTGTGAAGAGAGAGGCGCACCACTTCCTAAGAATACTCCCTCCTCTGAGCCAGGACAGCCTTCTAGGCACACCTGCAAATGCTCTCTGATGCTGACCCATTGTCTTTTGGATGGTAAACTTAAACACTAGTACTGTGCTCGGAGCTTAGGTCCTGGAGAGACTGGAAAGACGAGGTTGTTTGTGTGCTTATTGCATTGAAAACTGATTCAGATCTGTTAAAGGGAAGGAGATACAGTGAAGGTAATCACGTTGATTTGGTCCTGGAGTCTGTACAAATTGTACTTGAATTAGAAGGCCCAAGAACGAAGAGGAGCCACATTCAATTGCACTTCCTCTAAAGGAGAAAAACCAGCTTCAGCCTGGTAAGTGCTGGTGGCGTGAAGGGGTAACTAAAGAGAGATGGTTGTGTGGTCAGAGACAGTAGCTCGGGCTGGTTTGTGAAATGAGTTGATGGGTTTTTTTCTAAGTAATGTAACCTGCAGGGAAGGAAGGAAGCCTTCCTTCCTTAAGTTTTCCTTAAGAAAATTAGTGGAGAGCCCATGAGAGTGGGGAAGGGCAAAGGCTGGGTTTCTAAGACAGCTCTGTTCAAGCTTGGTCTTGGAGATATAATTGAAAATGGTTCCATAAGGACTTTTTTTAAACAATCACTGAGAATTCTGCCTTAGTATATACATGCCATTCAAAACTCAGTTCCTTGTCTTTGGAAATCTTGTTCTTTGCTGTAAAGAGAATGACTTAAGCAGATTAATTTTATTTAGTCTTTTTTGCAAAGTGTTGTAACATTTGATAACATATGCACCAGTATCTACAATCAAGGTTTTGATTTCCATCCATACACCCATTTGTTTCAAACATTTTATCTCCATGGCAGTTTCTGCTGTCATGTGCTGGTTTGTATGACTGCCTGTTTTAATCTTTCCCTGGCTCTCAAAACCAGTGTGCTGAGACATGAATTCATTGACACTCAGGGAAACGGCACCACCTCCATCATGTTGCCCAATCTAGAAATGCTGTAGTCCTCTGCACTCCTCCTCTTCCTCATGACACACACAAAACCCATTATTATTTTTGGATTCTGCAGCAATATCGAATCATCACCTTAGTGTAAGATGCAAGTATTTCTGATTTGCACACTGCTGCGACTAGTCTCAGAAGTAATTACATTCTTTGCTGTTTTGTTTGTTTGTTTGCTTGCTTGCTTGCTTGCTTTTGTTTTTCGAGGCAGAGTTTCTCTGTGTAACAGAGCACTGACTGTCCTGGGCTTGCTTTGTAGACTCTGCTGACCTCAGACTCACAAGGATCTGTCTGCCTCTGCCTCCTGAGTGCTAGGATTAAAGGCATGTGGCACCACATCTGGTTTGGAATTTTTATACCGAGGAATATTTTCAAGTTACACTTAGGCCGCTCTTTGCCTTAATTACGTTCTCTTTCAGTACTACAGTTGGCCTTATGGAGTCATGGATCCTGTAGCTTTGGAATCAACTGACCATTGAACATACTCAGAAAAGGCCTTGGGGAAATAGTTCAGCGGCACAGCACTTGCTGAGCATGTCTCAGGATCAGACTTTTATTGTTATTATTTTTCCTTGAGACAGGATTTCTCTGTGTAGCCTTGGCTGTTCTGGCACTCACTCTGTAGACCAGGCTCCTCCTGCCTCTGCTTCCTAAATACTGGGATTAAAGGTGTGCAGCTCCACTGCCCAGCTAAGGATCAGACTTGTAATCCCAGGAACCCATGTAAAACCTAGTGGCCACGGTGCTGGCCTTTGGTCTCAGCATTCAGGAGGTATAGACAGGTGACCTCCGGGGCAAGCTGATTAGCCAAACTAGCTGAGGTGGGGCCTCTGTGGCCAGCAAGAGACTTTGCCTCAATATAGAAGGTGGAGGCTGATTGACCAAGTCACTCAATGCCAACAATAGTCCTTCACATGCACACATGTGTATGTGCATTCATGCAAATATGTGTCCCTGCAATGCAAGCATGCATGCATACATACATGCGCACACACCAATGTTAAAGTTATTTTTGTAAAACTGAGTTTGTTTTTCAGTTTCTCTTTTAGCCTGGCTGTCACACAAATAATTGAGACTCCATTACATTATTTTAAAAAGCTTCACAGCCCACCTCCACAGTATTAACTCTATTCTTACTCCTCTAAGATAATCTGGATACCTCCCAGCATACATCCCAGAGATACCTGCACTTTGTGAGTTTTCCTCCTGAGCTGTCCCTCCCAGTCTCTCCTGGGCATGTGCCTCTGGATGAGTCCCCTACTTCCTCTAACTCCTCTTCCTCTGGTAGGCAGGAGGTCTAGCCCTAGTCTCTCCCCTGTTCAGCAATTGGCTGTAAACTGCTTTACTGGCATATCAGGCTACAGTTGGAAGCAGAGTTTATATAACATTGAGACAGGAGATTCTCAGGACAGAGACTGCAACCAGATATGGTGGGTACAGAAATCAACATTTGAATTACACAATAACCTTGTGCCTGTACAACACACAGACACATATGCGTATGTAAAAAAGGAAAAATACTTAGAGGCTAGAGAAATGGCTCAGCAGCTAAGAGTACTTGATGCTCTTCCAAAGGACCCCAGTTTAGTTCCCAGCACCCACATGGGTAGCTCACACCACCTGTAACTCAAGTTTTAGACAATCTGCTAGTTTTAGAGGATCGAGAGGCCCGAACGTGGGACTATGTATCTCCTCCTCATGTGGCTCTCTACCTCTTGCCTGCCAAAAGTCAACCATTAACTCCTCCATGTTCTCCTGTCACCATGAAATTCTGTCAAAATGCATGGGGGTCAGGCAAACTGAGCCTTCTGAAACCTTGTATCAAAATTAATCTCTCCTCCTTTAAGTTGACTATGTAAGGTGTTTTTTCCCAGAAACTTAAAAAAAGTCACTAATACAATAGCATTTTAAGTATTCTAGAGACAATTTAAATGCTATGGGAGGAATGTGTGTCCTATGAAAATACACTTGAATATCTCTAGATTTTTATATCTATTCAGAGTCTAAAAACCCCCAGCTATTTAGAGTTTATGACTGTTTCCACAGGAAATATTTTCTATACTCTTTACTATATGATGGCAAAATACATAACATGGACTCTGCCTTCAAGAGATTAAAAAATATATAAAGATGTACAGATCCAAACCTAGTTAGCAGATCTGCAGAGTTTGCTCATCTATGCGAATGAAACACTAAGCTGACTGACTAACAATGTTTCCCTTTTTTCTCCCTCCTCCAGTAGAGAACTCTCTCTGGTAAGAGAGCATTGTAGCATGCTCTGGGTCTTGGAGAATTTGAGATAATTCACACAAGTAGATTCATGGGTGTTTGCCCTTGACTGACATAGACTTCAGCAGCCTAAAGATTTAACAATTTTTTTCTTTAAGGCTGGTAATAGTCCACACTAAAATGTCACATTTTTCCTTAGTCTTTTGACAGATACTTAGACTGCTTCTACATTTTGACCTCTGTGAATAGTCTGCAACGAACATGAGGGTGCTACTGCATTGTTGAGATATTGTTTTCAATTCTACTCTTAAGTTTTTTGAGAACCAGTGTTGATTTTTGTAGAGAAGAAAATATTTTATATTTTTAAAGTGTACAGAATTTCATTTTTTAACGTCAACGCTGACAGTTATTAACTTTTTTTGGTAATAGCATTCTGAGAGATATAATATCTCAGTGTGATTTTGATTAACATTTTTTATGACGAGTGGTGACATTATCTTTTTATATACTTATTGGTTATTTGTATTTTTTTTGGCAATGCTGGGCCTTGAACCCAGGTCCTTATGCATGCTAAAGAAGGTTTTGAATCCACTAGGCAAAAAAAACTGATTGAATTTCTTATTTAGAGGAATGTCTATCCAAGTCATTAGCACATTTATTTTTTTATATTTTTGTTATATTAAATTAGCATGAAATAATGTTTTTATGGCATCCTCACACAGTGTATTACATACTTTGTCGTGTTTACCTAATTACCATTTCTCGTTTTCCTGACTCACTCCCACAGCTCCTATCTCCTTGAAAATAGTCCCTTTCTGATTTCATAATTTATATGCATATATTTAGGTATATGTGTATATATACACATAAAATATAGTACATGTGTATGGGAAAGGCATAGCATATCTGCGTCTCAGAGTTTAGTCTATTTCATTTACTGTGATGGTCCTGAGTTTTATCCACTTTCCTATATGTGGTGCAATTTCAGTTTATGGATGAATAAAACATAACCATGCATGTATACCACATTTCATTTCTCTATTCATCTTTAAAAATTGTTTATTTTTATGCGTATGGATGTTTTGCTTGCATGTATGCCTAAATATTAAGTATGTGCCTCATGCCTGAAGAGGTCAGAAGAGAGTATAGGATACGCTAGAACTGGGGTTACAGATGGTTATGAGCTGCCAAGTAAATGGTGGGAGTTGAACCTGGATCCTTTGGAAGAGCAGTCAGAGCTTTTAACCTATGAACTATTTCTCCAGCCCCAGCCCCCATTCATCTTTTGGTGGGCATCTAAGTCGAGTCTGTATTTTGTCTATTTGAATAGTTCCAGGATAACTTGGATGTGTATATGTCTACTGTGTGCTTACTTGGGGTACTCTCAGACTTTGGTGGTTTACGAAAAACATCACAAGTCACTGAGAGTCAGATATACTCTTTAGTTTCTCAACTAAACGTTGTACTTCCTTCTATCTAACCCTAGCCAACATGCCCTACACATTTGACTGGGTTACCAAGGATGTGGTCAAAAAGCTTCAAGGAAAAGATCTGAGGCCTGTCAAACGCCTTTCAGATGCAACCAAATTCCGCCAGTTTGACATACTGCAGAAGACTGCTCAATCATTGTTTTGGAAATCTGAAGATACTCCGGTTGGATATTCCCTCCTGCAGATCTTGGAGCCAAATTTTTCTGTCCCAGGTATTGTCAGTCAAGGGGAAGAGAAGTGTGAAAATCTGTGTTTCCAATGGCGCAGCTTCCCAGAATGCATGAGGTGCCCAGACTGGTAGCTCACGAGTCATCTGCTCAAAGGCAAAGGAGGAGGAAGGTTCTTTAGGACTCCACTTGTTTACTGGATCCAGCCAGGCACTTGGTCTTGTTACTTCTTAGAGCCTTTTTAGATGGAGATATGATACCCATCTTACAAAAGAAAAAAGTAATTGAGGTTCCTAAAACTTGTTTGAAGTTACATAGTTCAAACTGTAGAAATATGATCCAGACTGAGGTCAGCAGGTCCTCAAGTCCCAGGCATTTTTCTATTTCAGCGAGTTGTCCCAGGTCTGGATTCTGTGCTTGCAAAGATGATCTCAGTGGACTCCTAGACACTGTCCGAATGATGCTTTTCTTTCTTAGGATGAAGACTGTGCTTGCATGCGTTCCAGAATTTGCCCTCTGTAGTAATTTACATTTCAGATGTTAACTGATTCTTAGCCAGCTTCTTGGCTAAGGCTTAAATGAGGTGGGAAACATTCTCCAGAACAGCTGTTCCACAGTGAATTCTTGCTAAATGTGTGTCCCCTTTCCTCTGCAGAGACTGAGGTGTCAACTCCCATCCCCCTCAAACACACTGTATCCCAGAAACTGAAGACTAATGTGGATGTTAAAGTCATTGCAGAAGGAAGCGCATCAGCAGAGTTTGTTCAGTCCTGTGGATACGACATTGAGGTTCAGAGTACCAGTATCCCAGAATCAAAACTGGAAAGTCTTCAAAACATGTGAGGCTACTTGGGGGTGAAAGGATGTGTTCTCGTAGGCAAAGGGCCATCAAGCAGGTTCTGGTGCTGGGCTTGATGATGAAAACTCTGCTTTGGTCTTTCTTTCTATGAAGTTAGCCATTTGGATCTTCTTATTCTCCTTTACATCATCAGGAAACTGTTGGATCAGGAGCCATCATTTGTGAAGGACTGCCGGATGGGAAGGAAAAACCTCTATGTGGTGACAGAGGCCTTTGTAGTGACCAAGGATACTGTGCTGGAAGACAGCAGCAGTGTCAACTTTTCAGGAAAAGTGCTTATCCCCCAGTATGTCAAGGTATGGGATGAGAGCAAGAAAGCTAGTCCAGCCAGTGTATTCTTGCTTCTCAAGGGATTCTGGGGATCTGTTTCTAGGAGTCAAAAGGGAAGGGTCATTATTCTCCACTGCTCATATGTAGTATCTGGTAACTCCTGATCTTAGATTGTTTTCTAATGCCCCCATTTATAATGTTTTAATACATATGACTAGCAAATACTGATAAATTCCAAAATAGATACAATTATTTTCTACCATGTTTTGTTTTGAATAAACAATAGATACTACAGAAATAGAAATGTGAGGATTCTGTATTATCTACACACCCAGTTTCATTGCTAGAAAAACATGGAAAAACATAGAAAAACCTTTGCTAAATTGTACCTGTTAATCTACATTCTATAATCATCTGATAACAGATATTTTTTGAGATATGGTCTTACATAGCCTAGACTGCCTTCAACTGGCTATGGAGCTGAGGTTGGCCTTGAACTCCTGATTTTTCTGCTTCCCCTTTCCAAATGCTGGGACTGCAGGTCTATCTCACTGTGCCTGGCTTTGATAAGCAATGTTTGTAGGTACAAAATTTAAATAGTTTCAAGCATGTATTATTTACACAATATATTCACTATATGCTTGTAATCCCAGAGGCAGAGGCAGGCTGATCTCTGTAAGTTTGAGGCCAGCCCAGTCTACAAAGTGAGTTCAGGACAGCCAGAGAAATCCTGTCTGAAAACAACAACAATAACAATAATAAAACAACAAAAATTTCACTTATCATCTCATATATGGGCTATTGTTTCTCTCTTTTTTCTTCCTTCTTCTTAATCATCTTAATTAAATTTAATTTTCATAATTTTATAGATGCGCATAATACGTTCTTGATTACTCTTACGTCTCTCTTATCTTCCTCCCATACTCACAAATCCTCTTTTCACATCTCTTTTCCACATTCAATTATTTTTGTGTTATGATCTGTTGAATTTGAGAACTCTGCGTGAGCATGGGTGAACAGCTAACCATCTGATAACTCCCTCTATGACTCCAGCCCCTAGCACCTGAGGATCATAGCAGGATTGCAGATGTCTTCAACAGATTTCTGAGTGTCTGCAGTGAGTCCTGCTAATTCTTTGGAAGGTTTGTTCTTGTGCTCCGAATCTGTACCAAGCTCTGGCTGAGCTATGGTCACTGCTGATAACCCAGTTGTACAGCAACACTGAGCATTCCCAAGACTGAACCTTAAGTCCAAAGACAAGTTGGGGTAATAGTAAATACACAAAATGCCAACCCAACAAACAAATGTGGATGTGGACAGATATCTATAATAAAAATAATACCAACCACTTAACTACAGATGCATCAGTCCTATTGCAGGAACACAACACACACACACACACACACACACACACACACACACACACACACACA